TCATGTTGAAGACTGAACTTGTGTTTCTGACGTTCTTTAAGATGCTGCAGGTTTTTCTGTGCCCTTCTGTCACGTACCATGAGAGACCTCATAGACCGCAGCACGCTGCATCTTGCAGTGTGACTTGCAATGAGTAAATAGCCATTGCGATACAAATGCAATACTCGACTCGCCTTTGTGCTTCTTCTCTGTTAGCTGCCAAATGCTTCTGGCGGTGCTTAAGGAGCTCTTTGGATCCGTGGTGGTTTCTGGGTGGCTGAGGAATGCAGCCTTTTCCCCCTTTGCCTCCTGATTTGGAGCCTTTCCATGCAAGGCCTACCTGATATCTCTAAGTGAGTTTTTCTTTTAGGAAGGTTCGGTCTTGGCTGCTTCCAGCTGTTCAATATTGTAAGCTTAGACAGAAAACAGTTGTGATCTCTACGTTACACAAAGGGTTTAATTTTAATTGATTTAATTCCTGGCTCTCTTGTAACTTCTGAGGAGAGATGTTCTCTAGCAGTTTAACAGATTGTATTACTAACAAAAGCAATATGTGAGTTCTACAGGGCTGCGTGAGACGCTGCTTATAGAGAGAAATATGCCCCTTGTTAATCTGTCTTCATTTAATCCATTCTGCTCAAAGCTGGGGGCAGGTGTCATTGCAAAATACATGGCTATTGGCTCCTAAGTAAGGCTGAGGACTGAATTCAGTGAGTTGATTTCCTTGCTGGTCCTGGGGGATCCTACAGTGTCAGCGAGTGTCACCTTACTTGTGGTACTACTGAACTCTCACCTCACCAATACGAGTTCTGCAAATATCCAATATTAAAAGAACAGAGACTTGTTGTCTAAGGCCCCACTGTATAATCCTCAGTTTGAACCTGGAGTTCTTCTGCTCAGGGAATTAGCGTGTCTCTTCGCTTGTGGGGGCTTTGTAGTTCTGAGGTTAGTCGCTCGCTGCCTTGCAGGCTGCTGATCCTTTGCAGTGTGTGTGGCGGCGGGAGGGTTGGTGGATGTTTTTTTTCTTTTACAACTGCTCCTTTATATTGGTCCTGTGCGCTGAGTGACTGCAATGTGATGAGACTGGTTTCTTGATACTTGACAGTCCCCTGATTGCTCAAGAGGCTTAGTCGTGTTTGTTTATTCCTGGCTGTGACCTGGTGTTGTACCACGCACCGACACAGTTCTGGTTCAGTTGCTGGACTGGCTAAGACACTGCAGACGGCTGTATCTTGGTGGATCTGAAGGGACGTGACTGTATAATAAATTCCTCTTGGTTTAGTTAGTATTGTTGCAGATCAGTGTGCTGTAGTAACCGTTCACAAATTCTTTGACCTGTGCTGCTCAGCAGTTCCTCGTTGTTAGGAAAACTAGGGTTGGTAGCACCTGAAGAGATCAGGTGTTGAGGGAGTAGAAAACAGAATAAAGTGCAGTTTGTGTAGTTTGCATCTTCTGGCTAAATGAGTCAAAGCTAAGGTGTGGGATAGGGGATGAGTCTAAGCTTGGAGAGAGTCACTTGTGAAGGACTGGACAGTTGAATTTTATTTTTTTTTTTTGGCCACAGGTATTACTTTTTTGTTTGTGCTCTCTCTGTAGCCTTTGTCAGACAGGAGTGAGCTGCTGTCTCTTTAATCAGGAGAAACTAGGAACAGTTGCATGGCAGTTAATCATTTCTTTTTATAAGATCAGAATCAGCTGCGTGGCTGCCCTTGTCTCTGGTGTGATAAGTGTTTAACTTGAGTTATCCAAGGTTTAGTTTTGTTTCACCTGTCTATTAAACGTGTTGGGTCTGGGTTTTTTGCTTGGCTTCTCTTCTGCTTCAGCTTCTTCAGGTGGAGGTAGCGGCTCCAAGGAGTTACTCATTCCTTTATGTTTTAGCTCTGAGTAGTCCCCACTTGTGCTCAATGCCATGTGCAAATACTCCTACCTTACATGATGTTGTGAGCATCAGGCTAAAGCTTTTGGTCTCTTCAGCTCTGTGGAGGGGGCACTTGTGATTAGTAACTTACTCAGCTTGTGTTTAACTAGAGGTAGGCAAGTCTTGACTTAGAGCACTAGAGTCCCACTTTGTGACCCTCAGACTTCTGTGTCTGTAGCACTGTGCTTTGAAGAGCTGAGAGCAGTTTTTTAAGGCCCAAGGCAGCAAAATATCCCTGGAATCTGTGACTACTTTTCCTGCTCTAATGCAATCAACATGTGGCTGATGCAGCAATTTAAGGCTGGCTTAAAACAAAAAGCCATCTCTGCTAGGTTGGCCACGTAAGTCTCCTGTGGCAGGATGTCAGAGAGCTCGGTGCTGGGAGCACCCCCAAACGGTTTGTGTGTATGCAGGTTGACCAGTCTGTGGGCTCTTCTAGATAGAGCTTTTTAGAAGGAAGTTTGGATTTTCTGTAGTGGGGCAGCTCTAAAACACTCTCAGGAAGATGTGATCTGGCAGGCTGGTTCAGCGATGCTGGAAGGAAAAGGTTGTGGTCGGGCTTCTAAGAGGCTTTGCAAATGACTTGGCTCTGCTTGTCATGTGATGTTCTTGGTAGTTCAAGTGTTGCAAGAGATGATAGGATGCCTTGGAAGTGTGTTTTTAAACTCCTTTAAGGCATTTGCTCTAAACTGGGAGTGCTGGGACTTTGTAGGCCTTTGTGTAACTCTTAATTGTTCCTGTACGAGAAGAGCAGTGTGGTGAGCCGGAGCAGCCCTAAAGCTCAAGTACTGTGAGAGTCATAACCTCGACGGGGCTGGATCTGGCTTGGCGGGCCACCTGCTTTGCTGCTTGAAGTTATTACTTGCTCTTCGTTGTACTTCTCCCTGGAAAAAAAAATCCTGCACTTCTGTGGAGTAAGTGATTCTCAGTGTTACGAATGCCTGTGCTGAGTCAGACCAAAGGTGGGTCTGGCTCTGTGGTGACTGGTGGGGTGCCTAGGGAAGGGTGGGAGAAGAGGAGAAACTCGTGATAAACTCTTCGGCTCCAGTGAGGGGCTGCTTGGGTGGTATTTGTGTAATAGTGATTCTTCTCCTCCCTAAACTTGTCAATTACTTTCTGAACTCATGGGAACTCTTTTCCTACATGATAACATGTGGGAAGGAGCTTCAGAGGATTCATTGCGTGAAGAACTACTTCCTTCTGCTGTTGAACTTTCTTTTCGTTTTTGTATTACAGTGAGTAATCACGACTTTCTTCTCTGCTTTACATTCTTTCTCCTGGGGTATCTTTGGGCTGAGGAGTTTCCTTAGAAAGTGTGTAAGGGGAAAAACTGTCACCCTTGCTTTTCCATGTTGTGTAACTTCCACGCTCATCTTCAGGTGGACACTGGCATTGCTTAATTGACCATAATAAGCACCACCTGTCCTTGTGATTAAAGATCATCTCCTCTTAGATATAAAAGAATTTGGGTTTTTTTCCTGTAATGCTGACAGGCTTGATGTTAGAGGGCGGTTGTGAGCCTGCAAGCCAGCATACCTGTGACTGTGGGAGGAAACAAAAACAAACCTAGCTGTTTGTCACCTCTTTGTACTCGCATTTTTAAATGAGCTGTAACGAACTTGCTTCATTCTGGAAGGGAGGGGGACAGGGCGGGGGAACAGCTCCTCGCAAACCCCAATGCCCTCACCAGTAGTGAAAGAGGGTCTGCTAGTATGGGCACTCTTCACCTTCCTTTTTCCTAGCAGATTTTGTGCAAGTGTGTCGGCCGGATGTAAATCCTGTTTGCTTAAATCCCTGAGACATGTCCAGATCAGGTTGACACCTAGATGCGAGTCGTGGGTGGGGAAACAAGTGGTGTGTAAATACTTGGACACGGTGAGTGAGGACAAGGGAAGTTGTCGTCTCAAAAAGAGCAGCAGGTAAACGCAACGAGTTGCCTTTGTTCTGAAAACAGATCTTGCTCCGAGACAGGGGAAACAAGAAGCAAGCTGTGCAAAGCAGCGCAAGGGGCTTCCCCCGTGCCCTTGGTAGAAGTGCAGGGGCACATACATGGGTTGGAGGAGTGCCAGCTTTAGGCCAGGAGGAAGTGAAAGCAGCAAATCTCTTTGGGGGAGCTGCTGCTGAGCGCTCTGGTGCTTCCTCCCCCCTTCAGTTATCGATGCCCTTTTGTTGTGTTACTAGTCAGGAAGAGCAAAGGAGAACAGCTTGTCTGGGAACTTGGATCTGCGTGGCGTGAGGCTTTGTCTGGCGTGTTCTCCCTTCCCCTTTACTGGCACTATGAACTCTCTCAGGTTTTCTAGAGTGCGTTTGGCTGGGTGCTGTGCTCCGAAGCAGTGTCCTTTGAGACCTCTTACTGTTCTGCTTCCCGCTTTGCTTGCTGTGGCCCCTTGTCAGACTCCTCCTTTGCCTTCTGTTCCCGTCGGCAGTGCTGGCTCTGAATACCTCAGTGTTCCCAGGTGGTTATAGCTTAGCCATGGAGTCTATTCTCTGAATAAATCCACGAGTTTATTCTTTTTCCCCTCCAATGTTGAGCTCTTAAACCTGTGGGAGGTTTAGGAGATAACCTGATTGTTGCTGGCTAAGCCTGAATCTGTCAAGCTCAGGCCGACAAAGTGAGCCCCGATGCGGTGGGGTAGTGATTGTATCGCAACTTCACGGCCCTGTTAACAGCTCTGCATTTCTCCACCACTCTTCCACAATATTGTGATCATTTGTGCATCAGTTCACATGAAAGCATAAGCTCTTCAGGGCAGATCTGTCTGCACAGTGCTCGGTAGGACCGACCCCTGATACAGAAGAGATCGATAGGTCACTTCAGTCGGTGCCAGAGGGGTGGAACGTCTGGCTGGGCATTGTCCGCGTTCAGCCTTTCTGCCTGTGGTCTTTGGATCCTGAAGCTAAACCACTGCTTCTCTGCTGTTGTACCTATTTCTAGAGAGGTCTCCAAGCGACTTGGCTGCATTGAAATAGGTGTGTGATCTTCCCAGCCAGAATGCAGACGTTTCTAGATACAAAACAAGGCAGACAATATGAGGGCAGTCAAGTGCAAAGTGAAAAATAAGATTTTTTGGTTTTTGCAGGGTCAAAAGTCTCCCTAAGTCTTTCCTAAGCAGAAAAGAGGCTTATGGATGTACTGGATCAGCCAAGCAGATGTCACAGCTGTGGTCTGACATGTGGTTTCACATGTTAAATCTTGGGTCTGTCAGTAGATTAATGTGATGATACTCGAGCTGATTAAGTGTGTCCCTTTATATGACAGCAGGCATGTTTTTCCAACTCTGGAGACTTCACAGAAGTCTGACCCTCAAACACTTGCACACTGTAACCTGTCCAGTTTGATATGTATGCAAGAATATTGGCTTGTAGAAATGGTGTGTTGCTGAGGATAATCTTTTTTCAAATGTGCTGTCTCGCTTTGAGAAGGGCAGATTATGTGCTTTTACAGAAATCTTGGGACAATGTACGCTTAGCGAGTGTCTCTAGACCATTAAAAGGGGATGTATATGGTGTGACTCTAAGCAAGCGGCAGTTTTTCTACTTCGGTTTGATAGCAATCAAAGCCAAGGCCTCACCCCTAAACAGTCATGTGCTAGGGATGGTGGGCTTGGTCTGTATAATGCGCTGCTGTTAACGTAGCTGCAAGGCACTTACTTCCTTTCTGAACTGGAGCTTGCTGGCTGCAGGCAGTTTTTTCAATAACAAGCAAGAAGAAAGGGTCAGCTGAAGAGGAAAAAAAAAAAAGTACTAATAGCTAGAAATCTAGGTGGAAACAAGGTAGGCAAAATTCATTACGGGATTGCTGACTGTAGGACACCGTGCAGTCGCAGTAAGAAAAACCTCCTTCTAGAGGTTATTGTAGTCTTGGTGGTGTTCTGAACAGAACCTAAAAGGGGAAATGAGAGAAGCTTTCTGATAATGGTATCCTGTCGAAGTATTGAACAAGCTTATGCCTCCCTCCCATTATGTTGAGGGCTGAGAGAATACTGTGAAGATTATGATGCTTTCTCTACCAAAGAACGCGAGTCTAATTCTTGCAGTGTTTTTATTTCCAGGTAGTGTGAAGTCATGGCTATCCTGTTTGCTGTTGTGGCGAGGGGCACAACCATCCTTGCCAAACACGCCTGGTGTGGAGGAAACTTCCTGGAGGTGACAGAGCAGATCCTGGCGAAAATACCATCTGAAAACAACAAACTGACCTATTCACATGGGAAGTGAGTAATGCTTCTCTTCTGAGTTTGGGAGTAGAGAATAGTGAACATGCACAAGGATAGGAATAAATGGAGTGTAGCCAAACTCATATTTGGATGTGTTAGTATGCTGATTGAATGTGCAGTCAGCTCAGTAGCTATTTTTTTTTTCCCCCAGAACTTTGCAGCATAATCAGGATTTGAATTCAGCTTAAGCAATAAGTACCAAGGCAGTTGATACGAAATCAAGTTTTCTATTTTTATACAACTGCAGAGTGAGTTGGAGGATGCTCAGCTGTGGATATCAAACTGTTGGAGTCTTTGGTATTTGGCTCGTGGAGTCTTTTACTGGCTTTTCTGAGGCTTGAACATGGCTTTAGGTAAAAATGTCACCCTTCTCAGATCACTTGGGGATCCTGGTTGCTTTAAGTCGTGCTGGCAGATGTTGTAGGGTCATCCTGAGCTACCACAAATCCTGTCTGTGGGACAGAAGGATTTTTCCCAGGCTTGTACAGATCTCTGAACAGCCCTCGGTCAATGTTGATAGACTGGAGGAGTTAGATGTTACATCGCCTGAGACTGTGCTGACTTACTGCACATGTACGGTAGGTAAGTCAATGTGCTTGTGTGCAACTAAAGAAGGAACTGTGGAGAAAGCAAATTTAGATGCGTTGGACCCCACTTCAGCTCTGTCTTTGGAATTGGCAGTGTGGCTGGATTCTCAATATTGCCCAAGCTGTTGTGTTAAAGCTGTTTTGGCTGCCTGAGGATTCAAGAGATAAGAATTGGGGTAGTCTTCCTGCATCTTTCCCTGGCTTGGGAGCACTAAAAGTCCATGGGGGAGAGCTTTCTGAGGAAGCTGCCTGCCCTGGGCCTAAAGTACTTTGGATGCTGAATCTTTTTTTTGTCTACTGTAATTTTAAGTATACAGTTAACTTTCTTTTGTTCTAACTTTGCCTCGAGTGCTGTTCAACCAGCTACAAAGCTGAGTTTTAGGAGGGCCATAGTGCATTTTTATAGATGAAAACTTGAATTGTGGTAGAGATTGGTTTGCTCTTTGTTGAGGAGCACTGAGAGATAGGTAACTAATGCATCTACGCTTGCAAAGCATGCTGCGAAGTGTACAATCTTTTGCTCATTACTGACTGTTTCCTTGATGAGGATTTAACAAATGTGGCAGATGATCACTGCAGTTTGTGGTTGTTCTGCTTTGCGTTGTTCTATTAAAACATACAGGTGCCATTCTGCAGCTCTGGGCACTGAGCTTAGCATCAGAGTGTCTCCTCTGCTAAAGTTAGTCTCTTCTGACAAGTCTTACATTGGCTTTTTTCTATGAATTGGACAACCACCTCTTCGGTTGGAATCTGCCAACCCTGCCTTCCCTCTAGGAGAGGGGAGGGAAGAGTTCCTAAGCCATCTGTTTGGGGGGCTTGAATATTTTCACACACACATGCTTGGAGCTGGCAACTTCTTCCTGCTGTCAAAAAGCAAGGGTTTTGGTTTGTAGGGATATAGAATAGCCTCTTTTTTCCCTTGACCGTGATAACTGGGCAGAGCATGAAAGCTGCGAAGCTGAGTGAGCACAAGGAGTTGTCGTTCTTAGTGTCTGTAGGGTTTCAGGGATCCCCCTGTCTTGCCGGGGTCCCAGCCTGTAGGCTAAAAAATTGCCCTGTTATCTGTCTAGGTTTGTTTCTCTTCTGAAACAAGAAAAAAACTTGAGTTTCTTTTAACTTCAAGAAATTCAAACAAACTCATTTAATGAGTTCTTTTTGTTTTTAAGAAGAACTTCTGTGTCTTTTATATAATCTCCAAGGAAAACCAGCCCTGTAGCATCAGGAGTTCTTGGGCTTATTCTGTCTCTGCTGTTAAGATTCTTCTACAAGTCACTGGGGAGCCTACAAGGTAGTACCAGACAAGCTTTACCTCCCTCCTTCCAGGAAGGAGCGGCAATAGTTGTGGATATGCAGGGATTTTTTTTTTTCTTTCTTCATGAGAACAGACCTTCAGGGCAGTAAATGATACTTCTAGCCCACCCCTAAAGCTTATTTCAGTGTCGTCTTATTTATATAATACAAAACTTGAGTTTGAAAGCTACCAAGCTGCGCCCTTAGAGCTGTACAAGGCAACTGCTGTGCAGCACGTGCATTAACTTGCTTTTATTCTGGAGTTTGTAAGAGGGTCCACGTGCTTATTGGGGAATCTTTTGGGAATACAGAAATGTCAAAGTGAAAGGATACATGAAGTTTTTAATTGGGGGGGGGAAGTATTTATGTGGCCTTTTTGCAACTCTGTTCCTATTTTGTCCTGCTGTACTCATCAGAAGAATACATCACAGCATCAAATGGTGGTGAGGGAGCAATGTAATAAAAAAGCAACAGCTAAAGCCAGTGAGTTGAACTAGAATGCCCTGATCAGTTCTGGTTTGGGTTTAGTTGCGTATGAACTAAAGGTTTGTTTTGTTTTTTTCCTGGTAAGCCTAAAATAACAGCTTGGTTTAATTTTGATAGGAAAATACTGCTTTGAACTGGTTTGCACTGTTTTTCAGGATACTGAGGATTCAGTTTAACTAACATCTGTGTTTGCTCAGCACCACTGAAGGCATCTTTAAACGAATAGTTAACGTAGCCACATGATTCAGGCCTGTTTAGCCTGATTATTGTTCTATTGAATTCATTTTCTGCTGTGGTTGCTTTTGTCTCAGCCTTTGCAATGAAAACCAAGGGCAGCGCAACCCAGTGGTCATACAAACAAGGCTAAAGAAGCAAGTCACGGCAGCAGCGAGGTTCACTAAAGTATTATCTTTCTGGTCACTCCGATTAACTGCAGCTCTTGTCACATGTGAACTAGTGCATGGACGCTTGTATGTACATTGATTAGGATTAGACCTAAATCTTACCCTGGGTATCTTGTCAAGGTTTTGTTTTTACAAGTAAGTAGCTGGAAGAACGTGGACCTGAAGTTGTTTGGCAACTAGATGTCCCACAAAGTTTTTGCTAAGCATGGACTGCTGTGAGGTATGTGAGGCCAGTGATTCTTTAACATGTAGGTCGTTTCTAACTCATTGGAGCTTATAGGAATGGAGACGCTTACCTCAACAAAGATGGCTGGGATATGTTGGCATCTGTGTGGTTTCCTGTAGAGTAACTGGAATTTGCTCTTCTTCAGCCTTTGAAGGCCCTGCAGGCAGTAGTGTCTTCTAGAAGATTAGTCCTGTGGCAGCTCCAAATGACCTTTTTTTTTTCTTTTTTCTTCTCTGCAGTTATCTGTTTCATTACATCTGCCAGGACAGGATTATATACCTCTGCATCACAGATGATGTAAGTATTTTGGTTACAGCTATTGCACAGACAGGCTCTCTGCAGGTTTTGGCTTTTTTTTGTATCTGTATGTCAAAGAAAATCCATAGTGGGTGCTAATCTGAGGTGCCTTTTTTTCCCATTGGAGCTACTGCTTGTGTTCTCATTCACATCAGTTACAGCTTTGAAGTCTAAGCCTGGAACTCAAATGCATGTGAACAGTTAGTTTTGAGGTTAAGTTCTTGGTTTTGCCTAGTTTCTCTCTTAGCAGCCCCAGAGCAGTAGAATCTAGGTGTAGAGGCTAGCCTTTAATTGTCAGTGAAATACGCATAATACTCCTCAATTCTGGAAGTGTCAAAGCAAAAACTTCTCCCTCACTGGAAGAAGGTACCAGGCACAGAGTTAGAACTATGGATACCCCGGTGAAGTCTGCTGCCCACCAATGTCCAGGAAGCCGAGACTGAAATCTGGCTGCTATTCAAACCCCAGGATGACCAGTCGAATCCCATAGCGTTATGTGCAGCGTGCCTGTTAAGGACTGATGATTACAGTTTCTCTACAACTGGCTACTTGCCCCGTAGACTTCGTTATTCCTGACTTGACACAGCTCTAGACACAGTCTGCTCTCTTCCTTCCAGGACTTTGAACGATCCAGAGCCTTCAACTTCCTGAATGAAATCAAGAAGAGGTTTCAGACCACGTATGGCTCAAGAGCACAGACAGCCCTTCCCTATGCAATGAACAGCGAGTTCTCAAGCGTCTTAGCTGCACAGCTGGTGAGATCTGTTGCTAAATGGGATTTCCCTAACAAGCTAAACTTCTCCCCAGAAATTCTCCTTGTGTTTTCTCACTCGGAACTGAAGCGCCATGCTGAATCTGGGTATAATGCCAGGGGAGCTGGCTGTTCTCCCCACGCTTACCCTGCAGCTGGGTTGCTTCGCTGCTTCGGTGGTAAAAATGTGTTGGGGTTAATAGTGATGCATTAGCTGTACCAGGTAGCTGCACTGGCGATTAGATCTTGATGGTAACGTTTGAAATGTCAAACCTAGTTCCAGTTGACCATCCAGTGCAAGCTAACATCACTGTCACTGAGAGCAAGACAAACGCATGTTACTCCGTTTCTGTTAAACTAAACATCAGAACTTGAGTATCCAGTAAGCCCTAACTGCCTCTCACTTCTCTGAGCTGAGATTTGCCTTGGACCCTTCCAACCCCAAAACTAAAAGTGTGAGGGTATTACAGAAGTGAGGGGAATATCTATTTCACCCTCAACTTGCATTTTTCAGCTGAGGCTGTAGTGGTGTTTAGACGATGCTGGATTCCAAGTCTAGGGACTGTGTAGGCACTGCAGTCTTTGCAAGATGAGTTGCTCCACCAGTGTGATTCCAGTCTGGAAGGAAGGTGAAGCCCATGTCAGCGGGGTCTATGCAGGCACTGAACAGCAGCATGTGGAGGGCTGTGGGACAGGGAGCCTTGGTGTGGTGCCGCAAGCTGAGCCGCAATGCGGAAAGCTGCTGTCAGGGAGCTGCCTGCAGTGTAAGATGCCTTCTTGCCCACTGCTCTAGTGGTTACCTGATGCTGGCACAGCCTGGTGCCCTGGTAGAATTGTAGTGGCACCCCTCTCCTGCGGTGTGAGAAGGGAGCAGTCTGTCCTAGCTTTCCTGCTGGCAACGCAGTGTGTTGCTTTCAGTTGCTGGAACTGGACGGCACCACTGTTCTGATGTGTTCCGGCTTGTGCTGTCTGATTTTAGTGGCCCTGTTGACAGCTCAACTAAAGCCGAGTTCTGAATGTTGTTGTTAGGGCACATACAGAACACTGTCAATCTCCTTTTTAAGAAATTTCCAGGTTTCGAAAGACTCCATTCTGGCTACTTTGGGTCTGTTCTTGGACTCCTGAAGGGAAAGGTTGGGCTGGAATCTGCTTCTCTCTTGAAGCGCAGGGGAGTTAGGTGCTTATTTTGCTTACCACGGGAATCTGATACAGCCTTGACGCTACCATCCCATTTCTCAAAAGTGCTTTGCTTGCTGTGTGTTGTGTTTGAGGTGTGGCAAAGCCCACAGCTGCCAGACAGGAGAGATTTGAAATAGTTGTATGCTTTATGAGTTTTATTCACAGCAGTATACGGGTATAGCTTCTGAAGTATTTAAGTGCACAGCATAGTGTTTGCATTTCCGTTCAGCCCTCTATAGAATGAGATGCATTTCACAGAGCACTTCTTCTCAATGCAGTGTTGACTTGACGTGTAACCTGGGTCTGCAAACAACACCCTGCCCTGCTTCAGTGGGGGGGGGTTGTGGGAGAGAGGAGGAGAAAAAGCAGAGAGCAGCTGCTCTAGGTGTGGGATTGGGCTGCTCTTAAAAATATGAGCTGTTAATGTAGTGGGAATGTTGCAGTTTGCACTTCTCCCTGTTGGTTGGTCTGCAGAAGTATAATTCCAGCACCTGCAGAGAAAACAGGCCTGGGGAAAGCACAGGACTGTTGCTAGATGTAATGTCAAATTAAATGAATGAAGTCAGATGGAAAATAGAGAAGGAATAAATAACTGCCCTGTGACTCATGTGATCAATAGCCTTATTAGTGCACAAAACCTCAGGCTGTGGTCTACAAGGAAAGTGTTTCGAATCTTCTGTTGGAGACTCTTAAGAGTCCTTAATTGACTACAGACAACTTCGTAACCTGAGCAATGTTGGTTTAGGGTTAGATAAGATGTCCTTGGAATATTGGCTTTCAGAGCTTGTACACAGTCTGTATCTGGGGCAACTACAACCGGTGCTGTACACGTGGAGTAGGAGGCTGTCGATTTGCTCTGCTGTGGCTGGTGAGCATGTTAGTGCTGCTGCTGTTCTCTGTGAAGGGCTTGGCTTTTTTCCTTCTGATCTACTGGAAGTGCCAGGTTTGGTGATATTACAGGTGTGGGAGGAGAGGTCCTTTGCTGGTGACCCATGAGCACAGCTCTTGCCTGTAAGTGTAGAAACTGGGCAAGCTTTATAACGCTCTCCAGCAGTAATCGTTGCACGTTGAGGTGCAGGGTGGAGCCTCTGAGATGGGTGAAGGTTAAGGGAGGATTTGCGCTTGCACTGTTGCTGCCTGAAGTTTGTATTGGAGTTTGTGAAAGGAGCCGTTTGTGTTGGGGCCGTCAGTGATGAGTGGAGATGACTTGGAGCATGTAGAGTTGCACATAGTTCATTGCAGAAACTGTTCTTTGGCTTATGCAGCAGATGGAAAACAATGAATCATAATGCCAGTGTGGCTCCAGAAGGGCCCAGTGCATTGTGCGTGATAAATTAATTAACTTCCTGCGTGTGATAGGACTGAGTTTTTCTTCTCCACCGGGCTTTGATATCACTTCATATAGTTGCAGTCTCCACATGACTCATCAAATTGTAAGCTGTTCATAGCTGGAATAA